AGAGAGAGAGAGAGAGAGAGGTGTGTGTGTGTGGCCAGCTCAGCCCACCAGGGGGCGGGGGCTGGCTGGCATGTGGTGCTGGGGGATTGAACCGCGATCCCTGATGCTTTGGTAAGCTTGTTCTAAGTAGGTGCTTTAGACCACTGAGCCATCTCTCCAGCCCTAAAACCTTCTTATCTTGGCGATCAGAGCATATAGTACATCTAGGTGTTCTTCATCCGTCATTTAGAGTTGCATAGTGTTCCGTTCTGTGGATGTGCCGCAGTTTTATCAGCCTCATAATGCTGCTGCACATTTGGGTTAGTTTCCAGTCTTTTTCTATTGTAAATGGTGCTGAAGTAAAAATAACCCTGAGCCTTTGTTATAGTGTCTGGTCTTATTTTTACATGTTTTGGTCATGATAAAGTTATCCATCAATGATTATTTTGAGTTCTGTGAAAATATCATTTTTGTTGCTATTTCATGGGGATAGATTCCTCGGAATGAGATTGCTGGGCCACCGATAAATAAATGTGTAATTTTAAAAAAATGTAATTTCTAAAATATTGTCCAATTTCCTCCTGCTTGAGGGCAATCATTTTGCATTCTCACCAACAGTGTATAAAAAGTCTATTTCTCCTAGAGCGTGTTGTCAGGCTTTCATGATGGTTATACTGGGTTAATTTTGTATTCTGCCATTTTACAAAATTGGTTGTCTGAGCTTTTTTCATTGATTCTCCTGGCATTGGTTTTCATGTTTCTTTCTATATCACCTGCAAGTGGAGATACAGTACTTTGATTCTTCTTACATGTCTAATTGCTTTCTTGTCTGATTGCTTTGGCTTATGTCTTAGATATGGTGCTAAAGAATAAGGAAATTGCGGGTGTCTTTGTCTTTGCCCTATATCCAAATGTGGCTGCTTGTTGCGCTTCCTTATTAGATAAGATGCTGGCTTTGAGATTGACGCTCCTTTTGTTTTACCATGTCAAAAACTAGAAAAGTTGCTATTTTGAGTATTTTAAGAATGAGAACTCAGGGATAGGCACTAAATTTTGTTGAAGGTCTTTTCATTATGAAAACATTACCTATTTTTTCTGTTTATTTGATAAACTGAGTCATGTTTGCATTCATGGAATGACCTTGTTGGTTATGATATATTTAAATGTGTGTATGTGTGTTTGTGTTTGTGTCTGAATAGTAGTTGTTTATTCTCAGATGAAGAGAAGAATTTGAAGGAAAATTTGGAACTGGGGAACGAGCAAGCTCTTTCCAGTCCTCTACTCTTTGGTGTTCTATATGGAGTTGTTCTAGTTGTCATATTTGGTGCTAAGTGGGTATTTATCCATGTGTATAATACTTTATTTTCTGCATCTGAAATCACTTCAGTCTCTTGAAGGCACAGATCAACACTAAAGAGCAACAGAACTCCATGGGAGCTGCTTCTTTTAGATGAATTTGACAAATCACTGAAGTGAACAGGTGGGGTTGGGGTTGACTTAGCATGGGCCATCTACGGATAGCAGCACGGTGGCCCCCACAGGGCTTTCACCAGAGCCATTTGTCTCTCCTGTTGAGCCACCAACTGTCCAGCCTCTGAAATTGAGTGAGCCTTGCCTTTCCTGTACCTGCAAAAGGGCACTTCTTAGTGAGCTGCTTAGATTTCAGTGAGTATTCATAAATGCAGATCTTGCATCTGAATGTTTCTCCCTTTTCCCAGAACGGAGTGGACACTGTATGGATGAAATTCGCTGGCTTGAGTTGTTCCTGACATTCCCTGTCTGTCTTCCCTGGATATTTCTGCCTCTGCAGAAATATAAACTGAAACAATACTTTGCTTTCCACACAAGCAGACTTAAATTCCCCAAAGGTAGCTGCACCAAATCTCATCCCACATATACTTCATAAAATGTGACGGGCACATCTCCATGGGCGAGGGAGGTTCTTATCCGTATCTTTCACCCCACCATGTGAAGGGTGTGATTGCTCTGGGCAGTAGACCATGTGATAGTGATGCTATATGATCTGCAGGACTGGGTCATTAAAGGATATAGCTTCTGCTTGTGTGTCTGTCTGCTTTCTTAGACCCTAGTCCTGGGGACCCAGCCATCCATCATGCTTGGAAGAGCCCAAATTAGCCCACATACCAAGTCCACACAGCAGGGCTCATATGGAGAAGACAGGTCCTTGTGGACCATTAGTGGCACTTGCTAGACAGGTAAATGAATGACCTTCCAGATGATTCTAGACCAAGCACTGGAATGGGGCACACACACCTTACTTACTGTTTGTGGTCTGCATGCGTGGCCTATCCAATCTATGAATGTAAGAAGTTGTTTTAATTATACTACTAAATTTTGGGAGTTATTTTTTAAGAAGCCATAGTAGCTGTAACATACCTAAGCCATTTATAATCAGTTTGAAAAAAGCTAGTTTTCATTTTTGAAGCAATAGCTTATTTAACTCCTGATATTTTACTTTTGTGGTTATAGTCATTTTAGGAAAGAGACTAGATTCCTTTTACTGGTTGACCTATAGTACATTATTAAGGACCCTGTAGGTTAAATCATGGGCCCTTACGTAAGTAGGTACAGTTTAATATATAACATTATTGGTCTCCAGGACAGCCCTGCCTTCTTTTCTGAGTTCTGTACTTGGGTTTTGAGCAGCCTCTGAACATACCCACACGCATATTCTGCAGGTAAAATAACCTCCCAGGACAAAATCCAAATTCATTTTCTCCATCGCATTTGTTCTTGTTGCTCTAGCAGGACCATCATCTGCTACAGAATTTACACTGGAAACCGGGGGAAACACTGAACTTCATTTTCCCATATTTCTGGATGCATAGGGATGGTGTCACTGGACCCTGTTACTTTTTGTCCTGAATCCCCATCTCCACCTCGTGGCTCTTATGGCACTTTCATTGGCTCCCTCCTTTGGCTGTAATCTTCTTATTGGTCCCTGGTCTGTTTCCTGGATCCTTCTCCATGCACAGTATCAGAATTTTCTTTGCAGAACACAGCTCCATCAATCTCTTAGTAAAAAATAGAGTGATTTCTTTGCAGGTGAAGTCCAGAATGTGTGTGCTGTTCAGAACGCTTCCCAACTGGCACCCTGCTCACTTTTCATTTTTTTTTCCTTTTCTTCTTTTTAAATTAGTAGGCTTTTTAAAAAAGAACAGTTTAATACTTGCAGAAATATTAATAGAAAGTACTGAGAGTTCTCATTTACCCCCTCACTGTGCCCTTCAGTCTTCCCTTTATTAACCTCTTGGATCAGTCTGGTACGCTTGGTACAATTGATGAGCGAATACAAGTACATTTCTATTAACTTTGTGGTTTACTCTCTATGGTATATTATGTGGGTTTTGACACACACATAGCCACCATTATAGTGTCACAGAAATGCTTTTGCTGCCCTGAAAGTCTTCTGTGCTCCTTCCTCCTCTGCTCATCCCTTTACCCAGTTTGTAGCAACTCTGATCTTTCCACTGTCTCCATAGTCTCGCCTTTGCCAATGTGTGGCTGGAGTCATATGTACGTTGCTTTTTCAGGTTGGCTTCTTTCATTTAGCAATATGCAGGTTTCTTCTACGACTTTCCTAGGCTTGATGATGTGCATCTTTTTATTACTAACATCCCAGTGTTAGTACTACAGTTTATTTCACCAAGTACCTACTGAAGAATGTCTTGGATGCTTCCAAGTTTTGGCAATTAGGAATAAAGCTTCTGTAGATATTTGTGTGTGAATTTTATGTAACTATAAGTTTTCAGCATACTTTTTAATGTAAATTTACATTTTGAGTAGATAATATATTAATGTGTTTCAAAGATTAAATGATATTAAAGGACCAGTGAGAGAGTTTGGTGGACTAAGCACCTGCTTAGGCAAGCGCGGGGACCAGGGTTCAATCTCCAGCACCACATGCCTTGCTGGCCCCACCTCTGGGCATGCTGAGTCAGTAACTGAGTCCAGGCCTGGTGGCACACGTCTGTAATTCCAGTGCTGGGAGGCTGAAAACAGGAGGATCATTACGAGTTCCAGCTGCATATTGAGACTTTGTACCAAATACATAAAATAAATAAATAAATAAATAAATAAATAAATGATATTAAAAGGGTTCATGTTAAGACATCCTCCTCCTTCCATTCCTACTTTACTTACCTGGATACCTATCATCTATGTCTTTTTAAAGATCATCTATATCTTTTTGTAAAAATT